TGTATTTCACTGTAACAAAATGTGCAAATGTAATTTGTTACTAGTTTTATTCCAGCATTACTATGTGAGTATTACAATTAATAAAATGATCACTTAAAAACGTTACAGACAGACCTACTGAGAGCTATGATATTATTAATTAATGGTGTATGCGTCTGTTGAAACTGTCAGTGCGCATTATTTCAGCTTTAAATAATCATGATTAACAGTGGAATTCCTAGTGAAACACGACATTATCCATAATTTTGTAAACACATCTCCACCAATCAGAGAATCCTGACAAGCAAACCGTGCCACAAAACCACATAGAGCCCACCAACTCCCATGAAGCACTGTGAATGCTGTAACAGAGTCAGTCTCCCTATGCTCTCAAACTACTTCAATATCTCTAAGCTTATTTTGCAATAAACCAAAAAATATATAGTAATATCTCTAAATCAATAGTTTTCAATTTGATTATGTAATTCACAATGTTACATATTCATTCACTAAAGCCGTTGGGTGCACAGTCTTGTATCTTTGTCTTTTTTTCAAATTTTGTTTTCTTTTGTTTGCTTTAAATCAAAGTTTGTAATGTTGAGATTCACCTGGTTGGTTTAGTTCATGACGTATAACTCTTTAAAGAAGACTTTTTCTTAAAATCCCAATGGAAAAAAAATACTTCTGGAACCAAGGCTGCTGAAAAAGTGCACTCTATTAGGCACATTAATAAGAACACAACTTCACCAGTATGTATTCCATTTCAAACACATCTGTGAAATTAAAAGTTATCAAATAACCATTTCTGTTCTTGTTTTGATCTAAACAAAATTAATCCAGCTATATCTGTACTAGATCTGTGTCAGGGTAAAAGCACACATCGTTCTTTTCCTCTTTTTCCATTAACATACTGGACAGAAGTCTGTCAGTGTGATCAATCAGCACCTTGATTACAGCCCAAAATGTCTCCTCAGTCTGGTCCACCATTATCCGTGTCATTTCACTGCCCCCGAATCTAATCTCGTTTCATCCAACAGCTGCTGTACACATCTCTGCACCTTTCCACTTCACAGAAACAGCATCACAATACCTGTCTTATCACTAGAGACCTCCCCAGGGGGAAAACACGGCCTCACTGGCTTGATCTTCAGCCAGTGTTAGTTTACATCTGTCAATAGCGTTTTATGGACTTGTCTTTGATTGGATATCGGAGATGAATGAATGGTGAGATGCTGTGAGCCTGCAGAGCGTCGGCGAGCTCACGTTAAGCTGTCAGGTGAATTGTGTTTGGAAGCGAGGGAAGTCTTGCAGGGATTTCCGTGGTAACTGTACAGGACCGCAGTTGTAGTTAGACGGAAATATCTCGGCTTCCTGTGGAAACTCATGGCTGATTAGAACAGGATGCCAGTGAGTGCTACACTTTCTGTGTTAACGTTTCCTCTTAATATGCTAACATTTCCGGCTTGTTGTTAAAAAAAAACGTTTCTGTTTTTAGAGCTTCTTCATAGTCACAATAGATCATAGAAACACTCTCTTCCTTTTTTCCTCCTTCTTCTCCTTTTTCCATTGCTCCTACCACTTGACCTCAGCTGCATAACTAATAAGGTGGTGTTCACACAGAATGCATTTTTGCATTTCTCTGCATTGTTTTTATCATTTTTTTTACATAAACGTGCTAGACGAACACGTTTGACCGTTGCGCTAAAGTTTTCTCTTCTTCTGCAGCATCACATGCAAAAAAGACTGTTCTGAAAACATGGTGCTCAAGTTAAAGGATTAGTTCACTCCAGAATCAAAATTTCCCTCGAAAAGAAATGAATGTTTTTGAGGAAAACATTCCAGGATTTTTCTCTATATAGTGGACTTCAACGGGGACCAATGGGTTGAAGATCCAAATTGTAGTTTCAATGCAGCTTCAAAGAAGCAGAAGTACCGACCCCAGGTTTATAAAGTGAACATGCAAAGATCAAGTAAAATGCCCTTTACAAAAAAAAAAAAAGGTAAAACAACTATATCAGACAATTTTGAAGTTGGAGGAGAAAATGAGAAGGTGTTTTTGACCCTACCCTAATTCCGCCTATAAATTATCAGGAAATTTTAATTCTGGGATGGACTAATCTTTTAATGTGGAAGCCCATTTCAGCCACATTATAAAAATTTTTTTAAAAAGCTTTGGTAAATCATAATTACAACATAAGAAGTCATAATTATGAGATAGTAAGAGTCTAAATTATAACATCAATGTCAAAATGATGAGCTAAAATCACTTGTTATAATAGTATTTTTTCATAATTTTAACTGTCAATTTTGACAAATTTCATCTCATACTTGCGACTTAGTATGTCCTAATTTTAACTTTTCATCTCATATTCATGACTTAGAAATAATTTTAACTTATGTCAATGTAGACTTTTTGTGTCACAATTATGACTTTTTATCTAATAATTATGACTTAATTTTATGACTTTTTAATAATTTTCTATGAATTTTAACTGTCAAAATTTCAGCTTTTTATCTCATAATTATGGCAGAATGTCAAAATTTTGATTTTTATCTTTTAATTATGATTTTCCAAAGCATGATTTTTTTATGTTGCAGAAATGGGATTCCATAAGAAGTTTAACTTTTAAAAAGTGTGTCTTTAGACTTTTTTTTTTTTTATTCCACTGCCCAGAATCCCATTTATAAACACAAAAATGTGTTATCTGTGAACGGCCCCTAAAATATCAATAGCTCTGTGCAAGACTGGGTGGGCTGCAGTATATGGGTCGGAATGTCTGAGCGCCTGTGGGGTCCCATGTGCTTCCCGTTTCTCCATCTGACCCGAGCACCCAAACTACGTCTGAGGTCTTATGTAAATTAGCGTGGCCTTTATCAATAGCGAGCCAGTCTAACCGCTGGGGAGCCGAGGGAGAAGGGAGCAATGTAATCTCTTTCAAACACCAGCCTATGATCTCGTTAAAGACTAATTGATGTTCTGTGTTAACGAGCTTTACCTTAATTAGTCACATTTAAGTGAACGGGGGATACTGAGAGGAGAGTTGGATGCAGTTTTGGGCACGCTGGACTCATCAACACAGCTATGCAAACAAAAAATAACAGAGAGGGATGTAATCAGATGAAGAAACTGATACAGAAATGCTGAAGAGAGGGATCCAGCAGGAAAAAAAGAGGTGTTAAAAAAACAGCAACACTCTATAGAGTCTGAAAGCCCAAGGGATGGAACGATAGAGAGGATAGAGAGCAAAGGTAAAGGATAAGATAAAGAATCAATCCGCTGAAACAGAAGAGGAGAAAGAGGAAAAGAGAAATGCAAACGTTGATTCAAGCTGCTCTCATCTCTCTGTCTGAGCCCTCCAACCATGTTCAGTCTCAGATATTCAATTCCTCTTTTCGCTTTCTTCCTCTCCTTCATTTCCTCCTCTCACTCCCTCGTTCTGTTTGCACCGTATTTCTCTTTTCCTCATCCTTCACTGTATTTCTGTCTATGAGACTTCTCCTCCCCATCCAGCTTCAACTGTATCCACACCTCTGCTGTGTCCTCCTCTTCAGTGCATTATAGTCTCTCACCTTCTTTCATTCTATACTCTTTCATTCTTTCACTCTCCTTCCTTCTTTATAAGTGCACTCCCCCTCCCTCTACAGTAAAGCTTGGAAAGCAGCTGTAAGACAGACCGCTGGAGTGAAGCTATATTGACACTGAAGGCAACACATTAACATTACTGTGCGCATTACAGTACTGCAGTGTGTGAGTGTGTGTGTGTGCAGTCCTTGGTGATTTGCGTGCCCAGTATCCACAACATGCCTTGTTCAATAAATGTGCTTTTTTGGAGGTCATAATCTTTCCATACCTCTCTATTTTCACCTGCGAGACCACATATGTATCTATCTCAGAGGATGTGAAAATCGTACAGCGCGAAGCTTACGAATAGGTCACGTTTCACAACATGCCGTTAGTGCACTAACACATATAATTGAAGAAAAATGTATGATATATGCCAGGACTGATCTAAGGCCTGTCTTGGTGGACATTAAGACCTCACATTCCCTCTGCAGGACTCCAGGCTCCATCATAACAGCTTTAATAAGTTTGGTGCAAGCAGGGAGTAAAACTTATTACGGAATATGAAGCAGAAGCCCCACATAAATGATTTTACTTCATCTAAACGCCAACGGTTTGATTCATATCGCAGGAGGAAAACTGTGGGCCTATGATGGGCTCGTATGAAATTAACATAATGAGCCCTGCTCATAAATCTCACTGATTTCTTACCCAACTATTAAAAAAGCAAATGGCCAGACTTTGAGAAATGACAGCAATTGGTGTATCTAGATATTTCAAGTCTCCTTCTCATTTAAATGTTTATAAATAAATAAAAATGACTGGAAAACGAACAAGCTATGCTATTTAAATAAGCTCGCATGGCACTGAAACACCAAGAGCATCAAACACACATGCACTACGAGACACTGATAACTGTGCTCAGGAAAATTGATAAAACCGCAGTTTACATCCACAACTGGAGACGAGCAGCCTGACAGCGCGGCACAGCGACGCGATCATTAGCCGCACCGAAGCAGCATTTTAGACACGTTTTAGTATTCAGCCGCTTCACAGTTGTTGTTTTTATGAAAATCACTAATTGTGCCCGCAGACTGCGCGTGTCTCAGTGCCGTTTCCAGGCGCGTGCGTGCGTCTTCGCGTGCTGCTGTAACCTCTGCGCGTGTATATCTGTGCAGAGAGTGCAAGAAAAGTCGAAGTATGTGCCGTTTCGCTGAGGAACAAGTGGGCTTGTAAGCACTGGCATATGTGCGCGCGTGCAGCAATGACAGAAGGGTCAAACCCCTGCGTGCGCCGGCCGTATCCATCTCTCTATCGCGTGCCATCCATCTTTTCCACATATAGCGCATCAAAGTCCCCTCACCCGGAGCCGGCGGTGCACTGTCAGTGCCATGTCTCCTCGCTCCACGCAGTCAAGCCCGTGCAGAAACACAGCAGCATTCATTAAACTGTTACTTACTGTGTTTTTCACGCGCCTGTTCCCCCTCTCTCCTTTCGGCCCTCCATTCTCTTCACATAATTCCCCTCGAGGTATCCTTTTTGCGGCTTCCCCGGGGAAAATACACCTAGAAATATATATATTCTACATGTATTCAATTTTCGCGAGCTCTCTCTCTCTCTCCACCTATCTCCAGCTCCCTCCTCTCTCTCTCTCTCTCTCTCTCTCTCGCTCCCTCTCCCTATTTCTCCGCTCTTTTGTTAAAATTCAGTATATGCGCCTCGTCACCTAGCAACCGTCAAATTCTCTTCACATAATTCCCCTCGAGGTATCCTTTTTGCGGCTTCCCCGGGGAAAATACACCTAGAAATATATATATTCTACATGTATTCAATTTTCGCGAGCTCTCTCTCTCTCTCCACCTATCTCCAGCTCCCTCCTCTCTCTCTCTCTCTCTCTCTCGCTCCCTCTCCCTATTTCTCCGCTCTTTTGTTAAAATTCAGTATATGCGCCTCGTCACCTAGCAACCGTCAACCTCCCTCTTTCGCGCGCGCGCGCGCAGGCCGACTCTCTCTCCCGCGCTCTCTCCATCACTAGCGACACGTGTTGAATGCTAAACTTAGCGGTGTGGAATAATATTAATAACTGGGTGGCTCGAGGTCTCTTCCTCTCCTCTCTCTCTCTCAGCCCTCTTCCTCCACATACACACACACACTCGCAAGCACACACCTCCTCCTTTTGCTCGCGCATATCATCATGCAATATAAATATTTACTAGAGCCACTCAGTCCTCTGTTGCATACCCCCCGCAGCCCCTTCCGCGTCTCTCTCCCCTCCCATCATCCCGTGCTGCGAATCAATGGTGCCTTATCGCCACTTCTGCTTCTCTGAGCAAAACGGAGAGGTGTGCGTCCGTCAGGCCATCCGTCCGTGTCACTAGACACGCGTGTATCATACAGCAAAGACACGGGGGAAAATATGCACCGACCGTGTGCGTGCGTGCGTGCGCGCCAGCGCGTGTCCTGGAGTGAGTTAGCGTTGCTCAAGCCGGGAAAATGATCGGTGGATGAAGTAAGTAGCTTGAGCTGCAAGTAGGGCTATCAATGGAGCATCAACATGCCTTATAATTGTTCATTTAAGTGCTTTATTTTGTTTCCTTTTTTTTAAAGAGCTTAATAAAATGTTTTTTTCTGCTGTGTGAGCTCTCTTTTTTACATCTGTGGTCCTGTAGATGTGGTGACTCTTCAATCGATTAATAAACCAATAACTCAATAGCCCGTGATTAATACTGACACTCTGTGTGTTTCATTTAGTGAGCTCAGATGATAAATGGTCAAATGTTTTTTGCAGAAGGTCACTCCTTACTGAATCCCAGCGTGACGCAGCGCTATTGATGAAATATCATTCAGCCATTTAAAGCGCAGTCGTTTCCAACCCTGTTCCTGCAGGCCCCCCCAATGCTACACATTTTGGGTGTCTCCCTCATAACATATCCATTTAAAATCATGGAGTACTCTGCTAATGAGCTGACGAGTTTAATCAGGTGTGTTTGATTTGGGAGACATCCAAAGTGAGTACTGTTGAGGGCTCTCCAGGAACAGGATTGGGATCCTGTGTTTTAAACTACTGATCTGTTTCCTCATCTCCTCCCAGCATCATGTCTGTGCAGGAGTACGTATTGGATATAACAGTCAAAACACTTAGTCATTCAATGCAAGTTCATTCATATCCATTTCATACTTATTCGTTTTTATTATTAGGTCCTTAACAGAACAGAGGCCAGTGTTAAGTTATAGGATAAATGAGCACTAGAATACAACTTAATACACTAAGAAATATTTGAGCTTTGCAACAGTAAACTTAGTTGCAACCTAACCCTATCTAAATAATTACAGAAGCACATATATATGAGCAATATTGCCCTCAGCCAAAACTTGCACTGGAACAAATAATAGATTAATGAGACCAAAGACTGCCAGTTAGATTTACCCAAAACAAATTATATCTTGTGTTTAACCACTATAGAGACATCAGAGCCAGCGGCAAATTCCAGAAGATCTGGCCGAGGTGAGGCTGCTCTCGGTGGGTTCATGAGAGCTGAATGGCCGCTGAAGCCCTGGAGCACACATCTCCAAAAACATCTTAGCAAATTTTCAAATAGACATGATCTTTATTAACAAACCGCATATTTGAAGACACAAAAATAGTATTATTTATAAAATTGTTGTGGAATTGTTGTGTCCGCCATGACACTCGCTGTGAGAAATATAGCAAGCGGCGTGATATAAACAGTGAAACGGTTGGAGTTCTGTTATCATTAGAATATCACACTCCTCTCAGCCAATCAGATTCGAGGATCAGAAAGAACTGTAGTATGAGTAAATATATAAAATTCCTGTTTGCTGTAATAGTTTTTACCAATTTAAATACTGTTTGTCAATATTCATTTAAACATTTAAGTGTACAAATCATTTTATGATTATGTACCTTATTTTGAAAGAAAATGTAATTTATTACAGTTTACATGTGGCGAAAGTATTTTGAAACATCAACCATTACCAAATTAACTCTAATGCAAAGCTTTTCAAAATTCTGAATACAAATTTTAAGGTGGCTTATAAACAAAGGTAATTGTCATATTATGCAGTATAATATTACTTTATGGACAGTAGCCAAGTATTCACTTAAAGATATTGTACCCAAAAATTTAAATATTGTCATAATTAAAAAAGAGCCTGTGGGTTTGCATCAATGTGAAGGTGTCAAACCTGTTTGACTTAGTTTCTTCTGTGGAATAGAAGATATTCTGAAAAATTTTGGAAACTGAACAGTTTTGGACTTTCACTGTACAGACAAAAACATTTCTCAAAATATCTTTTTATGTTCCACAGAACAAGTACAAATGATGATAGAATTTTCCGTTTTTGTTGCAATGAAACAGAAAAAGTGACAAATCTTTACATCCCAAATTGGAAAGAAGATATTTCAGAAACTGTCTCTATAAAATGAAAGTCAGTGGGTCCAACATTGTTTTGGACCCCATTGAATATAGTTGAAAAAACAATAAAAGGAAAGAAATTGGGTGAACTATCTATTTAGGTCATTTATAGGGGCTGGTGCAACCTACTCAATCACCACAATGATTTTTGCGAGAGACCAAGGGGACCAGTGTTCTAGTTGTCAGGTTGCACATACCCACACATATCATTCATCAGTCTGATTCCCATTGGGCAGTGACAGATGTCAGTTGAATGGTTTGCCACATAAACTGTCAAAGCGAATGAGTGTGATTTTGAAGTGAGGGCATGTTAACAAGTTTCATTCAGTGGAATTTATGTTCACACCCTTTGCACCCTCTCGCTCGCTCTCTTTGTATATGTGTCCTGCTGTTTGAGTTATAGCTCAAAGCACAACAGATGAGTAAACATTGATAGTAAATCCCATCAAATCAGATTGAGGAACGCAAAGGCTACGCTTCCTCCTACCCTTGCTCTCGGTTCCTCTTTTTCGCTCTCTGCTGGCTTTACTTTCATTCTCTCTTCGTCTACTCACCAAGATTGATTAGAGTTGATAAAGAAAAATCCCATTTAATCAAGTAAATAGTAGATGGAGGAATCGAGCAGCAGTCCCAGAGGCATGTGCAGGGCCTTATAGGAATCATATTGAAGGTTCATACAGGCTTAGGGATAATAATAAGCACTACGACATGGCATCTGGCATTAGTGTCAGATAAAACAAGCAGATGCAAGGGAGAAGTGCAGAAGAAGCTAATAGGAGAACTAAAGAGAGAGACTGCCTGAGGGAAGATGGAGAGAGTGAGAGCCCTATTCAGCAGTGCCACGCAGACCTTCTTTTCACACTGGGACACCTCCACGACGATTGAATTTTTTCTCGGTCCGAGCTGTAATAGAAAATAACCAAGTACTTTTGCGCAATAGCTGTCAGCGACCTTCTGAGAAGAATAGGGCTAATCCTTTACGGTGCCCTCGCAGAACGGCTCCGTTCAAATCCGCTACATTTCATTTCTTGAATAAATTTTCTTCCTCTTAAAGATTTTTTTTCCTTGCAGTGAGACTGAACCCTGTCCCTGACTGTGCTCGTGTTAAACGTAGACACGAAATTAAGCTTTCAGCACAGAAAAAAAGCTACAGTACGTCACATTTGTTTTCACAGACGATAAAATGATGGGCATTGTAATCCCGAGCTAATTAACGTAACAAGCGCAAATGCACATCACCGTTTTCAAGTATCCGCATTTGTGAATATCTAAAGACTTTGTATGAATAATTCTTTTTTAAGGCTCCTCGCTTGTGTTTGTACGGTATAGTTGGAGGGTTCAGACAGAGCTGATGGAAGCCATGAGAGCCTTCAGTCCCTGAGGTAATTTCTCTGATCACTTATAATTCCATTTAAACAGTATTACTCTCACCGAACAGCTTCATCCACGGCTAATGATGGCATGATGCCGCATGTTTCAAGACCCCTCATTCTCCTTCTCGAGAGGTATTCGACAGGGTCAGATAGAGATTCAATGAGAAGATTGAAAAGTCCTTCATCATCCAGAACATCGGGGGTTTGGGCTTTATCCCAGTGTGTGCTAAGTTCTCAGATATATCAGTTAAAAGGCCCAACCAATCAGTGCTCTCAGCTGGCTAAGAATGCAGCTCTCCAGCCATTACGAAATGTACATTGTTCTGTCTGCTCTACTTTATCATGTTTAAGGAATATTCAGGTTTCGGGACTAGCTCAATCCACAGCATTTGTGGCATAATGCTGCCACAAAAACGAATTTCCACTTATTCTTGACAACACAAATCTGTCTTACAGAAAGAAACTTACAATGGAAGTGAATGGTGCTAATACGTAAACATTAAAATACCCAATTTAAAAAATACAGCAACAGAACAATATGTGTTAACATAATTTTAGTGTTTGTACAGGGGATCCTTTTCTGTGTGAAGTTGTCCAACAATGTAAAGCCATAAACCCTAACTACTGTAAAGTTATGAACTGTTTTAACATCTTCAAAGACTTAACAGAAGAATTACTGTATATGCATTTATAAAATTAT